CCAGGAAAATTTAGAGTATGGAATGTCTGATATTGAGATCTATCCTAATTAACTATTGAATTTCAAGTATAAAAAATTTCAGAGATCCAGGCAGAAAACCAAATTATATCCCATGGATAAAAAGTCAGATTGGCTTCATATTTCCTTAGAGCAGCATTCAGTTTCAGAAGACAGTGGGGCCATGTCTTCACTGTTCCAAGAGAAAAGAAGTGTGAGCCAGCATGTGGCCCAAATTAGTGTAGCTCTGATGTCATTCAGGTGTAAGGGCAGGAGGCAGATATTCTCAAACATATACAAGTTTGAGTATTGGTGCTTAAAACCAAAACTTTTATGAAAAATATATATTCAGTGCTATCAACCTCTAAATATGTTTCATAATGTCTTAACTTAGAAGGATATTTTAGGAAGTATCTCTTGTGAAGAAACATTTGGTTGAAATTCAGCAACTACTTTTCCTAATGTGAAATTCAAATAAAATCAAATGCATTTATAAAAAATTAAAGAGTAGTTTTGCTAGAGAATAATTTTATTTTTTATAAAAGTCTTCCTGCCAGTCTGACTTCCTCCTTCCCTTCTCACATGCACACTGGGCATGTGCCCTAAGCCCCAGTTGTGGCGCTCTTCCTTCCATTTTGCTGTTGTAGTCAAGTTTGCAGAAATTAAGTGCACTTTATGCTATGAGGCATCTCTACAAAATTCCACTAGTTAATAAAACACATAGACTATTCCACAAAAAGATTTTGACATTTAATATATTTGGCTATCAAAAAAAAAAATCGACTTGAAATCACTTACTCCCTAGAGTGCCAAATTTTCAGTATTTATTGAGTGATAGTTGTATACTCAGTGCAGCTGTGTTCACCTAACATGTTTAGTATGAGGAAACACAGTTTCTACTCTTAAAGAGTTCTTATACTTGAGGTGGCACAGGTACATTGCCACAGTTTTCCCAGTATTTCCCAAGCAAGATCTAGCTTTCAGGTGGGCTTCTCAAGACAGAAAAATAGATTTTTGTTGTTCATAAATTTTTATATTGATTTTCACTTATTTATTCAGGAAAGTTGTTGAGTTTTGTCAGATACAGTGCTAAGTATGAAGGATGTGGTTATGATTAAGAAGTTGAATCCATGCTCAATCTCAAACGAATATAGTGGTTAGTTACATGGTATCCTCTCAGCGAGCCAAGCCCATGTGTGGCCTTCTTCCCTCCCATCTGGACAGCCCTGCCTGCAACTCACCTGAACCTCTGGAATCTGCCAGAAGTGATGCTGCAATTGTCCCAGCACTGGACACATGTTTTAAATTCAAAGGTTGAAGAAAAACATATGGAATATATTATTTGCAAATGTAATGAACATAATATTTAAAGTAAGCTGATTCTGTTTTGACACTTTTAGTCAGGCTATAGCTTTCCTTTTAATGCAAATATTGGTTGCCAAAAGATTTGTTTCAATACAAAATATGTGCAGCTATACATATTTTATCACTTTCTTTACTTGGGACCCAGTGTGCCTGGAGTTGGGGAAGTGGTCGCCAGCTCTGCTATTTAAATATTCCATCTTATCAAGGAGGTGTTTCATAAATTATGTATAACAGTAGATGCCACTCAATAAATATTTTATATGTGATAGATATTTTTGTCTGAAATCACTTTTTCACTTGAGCAATGATTTAAACTCTCGTTTTTAGTTTTATTAGGTGACACTTTTATAATATCATGTAGCAAATGCAGCTTGAATGTCATAGAGCTTTAGGGCAGCATTAATCATAAATTCATCTGCCTGCACACTCAATTTTGGAAAACTTTTTCTTAATTCAGATTTTAACCATTCTATGTATGGAAGCGTGTGTGAGTATGGCTGGTGTGTGTGCGTGTGTGTGTGTGTTAGGTATGGGTTGGGACAAGTAATGCTTTTGACCTTAATGGCTTTGAAATTTAAATAATTTTCAAAGTTTCTGAGACTTACCTTAAAGAAAGGAAAAAAAAAAAGGGGTTTCAGTGGTTAAAAAAGAAAAAAGAAACCAAACTGGTTTGGGATGTAGCCTTTTGGGGGATTTATTGTCCACTTTTATGCAGAAAGAAAATACCTGTGTCTCTGGACTCATGAGAATAGTCACTCTCCTTTTCACGTGGACCTAGAGGCCTGGAACAATTCATTGCCAGAAGGCTGCCTACCACGTGTGCGGTATTGTCACAGTTCCGAGCTACCAGACCTTCCAGTGAGGATGTTGTTTTATGAGATGGAACTGTATGATTAAATTCTCCACTGTACTATATATGTTTTTAAATTACATATATTTAACTTCTTGAATTCTCTGGGCAGAAGGAAACATATGAATTCGACTAATATCCCAGAGGTAGGAGCAGGGGCTGGCTTATTTAGATGGCTCATTTCAGCTAAGATTTGCAAGGGCCTTGGTGTAGCAAATCAAGATGACTGAAGTCTTTGACCTCAAGGCCTGAAGTTCTGAGCCTTGGGATGAGAACCTGGCTGATAAGAGGAGTAATTGAAGAACAATGATATGCTTCATTTCCTTCTCTTGAATCTAAGTAATGCATTGGTCATTTTCTCTGCGTATCTATTTAATGGTTGTTAAATTAAATTACTTTCTTTCAAGTTGTGGTTTTTATGTTTTCTTTTTAATCATCTTTTCTGCCACTTCATTCCATTGCCCTCTTACATGACTCCAGCTCTGCATGTGCGTGTTTAAAACTCAAATGTCTGCAGAGATGAAGGCTTGAGGGACTTCTCTGTTTCCACCGCCCTTCCCCAGCATCTCTTAGGAGCTCCCTTGTCTGCACGGTTGTGAAGTTCTGAATCTTTCACCTACAGAATGGCAGACTCTGTATGTTGTTTTAATATTTAAATGACACAAAATACATTTGTATATTTCAGGAATGTAGGGAGTACCGATTGTGTTTTAGGCAGAGCTGGGCGCTGGCATTCCAGAGCTATGCCTTGGTCACTGCTGTCGGATTGCTGAGGTAGGGGTGGAGAAGAGATTCACTAGGAGTGTATCTGACAAGGAGCCCCGGTTAATAGCTTGGAACTTGCTCCCCTGTTGCTCCTATCACACCTGTCATCACAGAACACGATGTCATGCTTTTGGATGTGACTCATTGTGAACTTAGCACAGCTCAACCTCCAGGCTGGAATTTTAACCTTCAATCATCTGGAATTTGTCTGCTTTCCCTCAGATTTGCCTAGAAGCCTGATTTTAGAGGTCTTTTATCTTAGGTCAGGTGGACCTGATATGAAGACATAGGCCAGCCAGTCTCTTTTCCAAAGGGCTGCCATTGACCACCGTTCCTGCATTTCTTTAGATTCATGTATATCTAAACTCATTCATTCATTTGACAAATATTGAGGAGCTACTCTGTGTCAGACATGAAATTAGGCATTGGGTTACATTCTAGTCAGGGCATAAATAATACACTTGTATCTAACATATCATATGGTGATAATTGCTAAGGAGAGAAACAAATCAGGATAAGTGAGGTTGATGATTACTGTCTTGTATGGGGTGATGGGGAAGGTGGCTTTTGAGTAGAGACCCGAGGAAGTGAAGACCAAGTTTTATATGGTAGTTCTTCTCAATTGGGGATGATCTTTTACCCTAGGGGTCATTTGACAGTGTCTGGAGAGACTTTTGGTTGTCACAACCTTGGGAGAGAGGTAGTGTGTTATTTGTATCTATTGGGTGGAGTCTATGGATGCTGGTAAACAACCTACAATACACAAGATATTTTTCCCATAATTAAGAATCATCTGGTCCAAAATGTCAGTAGTGCTGAGGTCAAGAAACCCGGCTTTAGGAGAAGAGAGGAAATAAACGATGCCAGAAGAAACAGCAACCACAAAAGCAGAAGGAAAAGCAATGACTAAACCCTGAGATGGGGGCAGGCTGACAAGTTTGAGAACAGCAAGGAGCTGTGGATACCTAGAGAGGAGTGAGCAAAGGGGAGAGTGGCAGGAGACAAGAGCAGAAGGTTAGCAAGGGATGTGATTGTGTAGTGCTTTGTAGGACCTCACAAAAGATTTTGGCTGTTATCTCAGTGAAATGTAAGGCCATGTAAAGGATCTGAGCAGACACACAGACTCACAGACACAGACACACACATACACACAGACACACACACACACAGACACACACACTCACACACGCAGTATGGAGTTAAGGGAGAGGTCTGCCTGGGGATTTAGATTTGAGAGTCATAGCATATAGATTTCAGGTAAAGTCAAGAGACAGGATGAGATCATCAAAGGAGTGACTGTAGATAACTAGACTTCCAAGGATGAAAGATTCCATGGAGCGGGTTCAGGAGAGAGCAGGAGAGGAGGAATTAGAGAACCACAAGTGTAGAGAACTCTTTGGAGATTATTTTCTCTAATGGTTCAGAGAGAAATTGGTGGTAGCTGGAGGGAGATACAGAGCTAAGGGAAGCGGTGGTTGTGGTGGTGGTGGTGGTGGTCGGTGAGAGATATTTAGTGGATTTGTGTATAGATGGGAATGAACGGTAAATAAGAGAAGGTGATACTGGAAATAGGGTCAGGTAGCTCTGGCGTACCTGTAATTAATGCACAAGAAACGATTGCTCTCAGGAACATGTACAGTTTAACATAGTAACTGGACAGATGATGCCAGCAAATCAGGAGACATCTAGATATTAAGTAAAATAAAGGTTCTGAAAAGGGGGAAAGAATACTTTGTAGCTGGTTGGTTATAGAACCTTTTCTAAAGAAGACAAGGTTTGAGTTTGACTTCAAAGAGGCTATATATATCTGGCAATAAGTTTAATTGATTTTATATTGAGCTTTTATGTTTCAATTCACTTTGCCTACCATATGCCAGGATTTCACCATAAAGTTTAAGGGCCATTTTTCTTGCAGTTTCAGTTTTTTTGATGAGAAAATTTTCTAACACTCTAAAGAATGTGTAGTTAGATTTTCTCTTTCCTCAAAGTAACCTTTTCTTTTTATTTTTTCCCCTAATTTCAGGAACAAACTCTAGCCCTTAGGAAAGAAGGGATTGGAGTCGTTTTAGATTCTGAACTGCCCCATTTGATTGGCATTGATGATGACCTTCTGAGTACTGGAATCATCTTATACCATTTGAAGGTAAAAACTGCTTAAGTGGAACATTCTAATTTTGTTTTCAGTTTTCCCTTTAGACACTAGCAAGTTTTGTTATAATATTCTATGTCAATGAACACAGCTATTGCATTAAAGAATATACAACACATCCTTGAGCCCTTTGGGGATTTTCAACAGTTCACTGGGATTCTGTGGTATTAGAATTCCCATTGTTATGGAGTTCTAAACTAAATGAAAATTCATTTGCTTTGCCTTCTAATTTGTAGAATCAGTAAGAGGGAGGTAAGGAACAAAAAGGCAGATAGACTGAGGAAGAAAAGTCACAAGCACTTAGAACTGAGGTTGGCTTTATGTACTGTTTCCTCATGTTATTAATAAAATTGTTTCTCCCGTCTGTATTATTAAACATGGTCCTGGACAGGCTATTCATGTCAAGAGAGCAGAATCTCTGCATCAGCATCAGTGCTGCCTCTGTAACCTCGACCTAGCATCCTCTCTCTGATCCATGGCTTAAAATGAGAATGGTATTGCACTGTGCTTTGTGGGCTCCCACAAACTATCTTTAGACACAAAGAAACCCCTTACCACTGGAAGAGAAACACTCACCAGAAAGGGTCAGCAACATCGGTGAGATGACTGTCATAGGCAAGTTATTGATCCACACCAAACCTACCTGTTTGTTGTTGAACATTAAGCCCCAGGAGTTCTGCTGTCATTTTCCAGGCAACATTGGGTATTATTTCAGAGCCTCAGTGCAAATAAGGCACTGAGGCAGTGGCCTTCTCTAGGACATTGGCATGGCCTTCCCTGGGACATTGCTTTGGCCTTTTCTGGGACATGGGCCATTTCTGTGGTCTTCCCTGGGATATGAGACATTGCTGTGCTCTTTACAGGGATATTGCTCAGCCCATTGGTCATCAGGTTGCTTGGACTTAAATGGAAAATGAAGAAACATACCGTTATCCTCTTACTAATAAATTTTGTTTGACTTTTCCCCAGGAAGGTCAGACATATGTTGGTAGAGAAGATGCTTCAACAGAACAAGATATTGGTGAGAATCGATTTCCTCTTCCCAATGATATTTTAAATCATTTAATGAAGAACTTTCTTTGAATGACAGACATGAAGTAATTATTAAAAAAAAAAACTTTCAAATATGGTGTTGATCAGTGTGTGTATTTCTATAATATCAAACTCAACTCAAAGAATAACAGTTAATTTAATGAATAAAACAGAACTATGAATCTTTTACCCCCACTCTACATACATTCTATACTCTGTCAAGTCTTCCAAGAATATGGTCTTTGAAATCACTCTGTTCTTGTCACAGTGGGACGATGGTTGATGGAAATATGCCAACAGACACAAGTAGAGGATATAAGACCCCTTAATGGGAAGGTTATAGACAGTTATGTGCACAAAGATGATGATGGAAAGTAGAATACACACATAGATGGAGGGACGACTTCCTGGGTTTCCCAGAAGTCTTCACAAGACACACAGATAACCAGGAATTCAGCCTGAGCAGAGTGGGGACCTGCCAGGTTTTAAAAGCCTAACTTAGAGAATTTGTGGTGGCAGCAATGGTGGTGGTAAGCAAATGTGTGTGGTAAGGTAGGGACTGTAAGGGGAAGAATTGTATATTTTCAGCTGTTTTTAGAAGTGCTGGTAATGAACTTGCTTTCTTGCTAAGTGTAAGCTATTAATCAAGCCAACCCTAGCATATTCCAACATGTATTTACTATATCCTCTGAAACTGGGAGAGCTGTAAACCAATTTCCAGAAGTCTTTCGTTTCAACTGTTTTGGGTATAGCAAACTTCTGTACCCCTGAGAAGCTGGCTAAGATCTGTGCCTATGATCGTGTAGATTTATTTGACAGGCATTCATATTCATGCCTAGCCATTCGTTACACAAGAAAATCTCAGACGACACACATTCTGTGAGATCTATGGAGGTCCAGTTCTACCATAATTAGCACAGACTGACAGAGCACATCCCGGTACAGCTTCTGGAGACTTTTTTGGGTTTCCCAAGATCAATGCCGTGCCACGTTTACCTTTGTTTCCACTCCTGGAACACCGTGTCTGTAAATGTGGACGTCACAGTAGGTCTTTGACTGTTAGAACTCTTTTGTTCCCTCAATTTTACTGTGACTTTTAGGTGGCTAGTAAATGAAATTTATTCAGCATTAATCCTAACCCTAACACAGTGGTGTTCAGTTAAGACAAGTGACTCAACTGTTTTTCCCCCTGAAGATGAAATAAATTAATACCTCAAAACTTATTTCTTTATGCAGGTGATATCCAGACCCTTTGTGGTAACATTGAAGAGTTACCTTTATTTCTATCAGTTGATACCACAAGCTCCTGAAATTTAGTTTCCTTACCAAACATAAATGTTCACTTCACAATGTTTACATGGACAAGGAAAAGTATTCATTGTGGGAAAACAAATAAAGGTTGGGAATCATTGTACTAGGTAACCAAAGAAAAATTTTTCTTTCTCCTTTCTTTTTCCAACTTAGTTCTTCATGGCCTTGACTTGGAGAGTGAGCACTGTATCTTTGAAAATGTTGGGGGGACGGTGACTCTTGTACCCCTGAGTGGGTCTCAGTGCTCTGTGAATGGTGTTCAGATCATGGAGGCCACACACCTAAATCAAGGTATCTGGGTTTTGGTTTTCAGAGCTTTTTGTATATGTTGTTGCTAGAATACAAGTTAGCTAGTTAATGAGGGAACTTGTGCATCTTAGAATTAGTTATCAATTAAGTATTAACCCATTTCCTGTTTAGAAAAAATAAATGCAGCTTGCTGCCAGCATTAATTTAATTTTACATAAACATGCTCTTTGATCCTGAAGCAATGTGAAAATAAAATATAAAAACTGTTCTGGGAGTTATTTCTAAACAGAAATTGTCTCCAATCCTAATGTAACAGAAATGTATACATAAATCAGATTCATCAAATGAATCTTTGGCTAACAACTGTTGGTGTGTGAATGCTTTGTTTTCTAGGATTCGACATTTCAGCCATCGAGAATTACTGTATTTTGTAAATGGAAATACCACTACTAAAAACAGAATGCTATAAATAGAATGATGTCATTTGTTTCCAAAGACTATCAGCATACTAGAGCGATGCAAAAATAATAATAAAAGAGGTATTTTGTGGCAAACTTTGGGGGTAAGGTTAAGACTGTAATCTGCAAATTATCCCGTGGTAAAGCTGCCAGCCGCAAGTGCCACTGAGAGTATTCTCAGGGCAAACAGGAAATGGGTTAAAAGAGTGAAGACTGCTTTATTATGATGTTTTCTCTTTCATTTTGCTGAAGGACTTCTTTATAATACCCATTGTCTTGTTGAATTAAATAGGAAAATGCATGTAGTTGTCTTAGAAGTTAAGTTAAAAAGGTACCCTTCAAATGCAAAATCTTAACACAATGGTTTCTTTTAATAATTACCTTATTTCTATTTTTTCATGAAAAGTTATCAGTATCTTTTGAAAAATTTTAGTATTATAGAAAAGTTGCAAGAATAGTACAAAGAACTTTTTAATTTCAGAAGCATTTGAAAATAAATTGCTAGGATGATGCCCTACCACCCCTGAATACTTCAATGCATAGTTCCTTAAAACAATGGCATTCTCATATGTAACTACAATACAACCATCCAAATTAGGACGCTAAAACATACTCTGTTCAAGTTTTGACATTTGTCTCAACAATGTCCTTTATGGGTCCAGTAGTTAGTCTGGCATCCTGTGTTGCATTTGGTTACCATGTCTCTCCACTCTTTTTCAGTCTGAAATGTTCCTTGGTTCTTCCTTGACTTTTATGACTTTGACAATTTTGAAAACTGCAGGTCAGATATGTTATAGAATATTCCTCTACGTAGACGTGGGATTTATCTGGTGCTTCCTCATGATCCAACTAATATTATGCGATTTTGGCAGAAATATCAGAAGACTGATGCCATACTTTTCTCATGTCTCATTACATGGTTTCTTTTGACATAACCAGTGATGCTCACCGTGATCATTTGATTAAAGTGGTGCTTGCTAGGCTTCTTCACTGTGACATTAGTCTGGTTTTAGTATCTATCACTTTTCTGTGTATGTGTAATTAAATTTTTATTCTGATGGTTGCCAAATGGTGATTTTCTTCATTCTACATCCATTTTCTTTTTAGTATAAAACAACTTTCTTAAATAATTTTTAAAACCATTTTTACAAAAAGTTGGCTTTTTACTAGCTTTTTCTTCTTACCATTTATGTATTCATTTATTTATTAAGATCAGCAGAGCCACATGACTTGCTATTTTATTTGGTAAGTTTTTATTTATTTCTATCATTATTTATTTTGATACTCAAATTGTTCCAGATTTGGCCAGTGGGAGTTCCTTCAAGCTGGTTTCTCTGTCCTTTTGGCTTGTCCCCATCGTTTGTGAATACTTCCTCATCTTCTGACAGGCTCATCTTATACTTTCCTACAATCAGCCAGTTTCTGAGGAGCTTGGTTCCTTTTAGTGGAGAATGAGATTTAGAAACCAAGATTTGAGCAACTCAGTATGCTCACTGCTGAGAAGGTATCACTGCTCCCAGGTCCTGTCAGTCAACAGAGTTATGGAAAGCGTGCGTGCGTACGTGTGTGTGTGTGTGTGTGTGTGTGCGCGCGCGCGTGTGTGTACAAAACTACCCTGGACTTGGCTGGACAGGTTTCATCTTCGTGCTGCTGGCAACCAGCAAGTTTTCACAGAATGGTTTCAATGTGTGTGTGTGTGTGTGTGAGAGAGAGAGAGAGAGAGAGAGAGAGAGAGAGAGAGAGAGAGAGAGAGAGAGATAGAGAGATCATTTACAATTATATTTATATTTGTATATTAATTATCTATGTTGCTAACCAGGAATTTACACCAACTCATCTAATTCCAACCCAATACCTTAGAGTTCACTCTAGTTTTCTCCTTTTTCATATTTGAAGCTCCCTTTTCTGACAGTGATAAACCTGACTCCTATTATGTAACCAATATCCTGTCACTGCTGCTCACTCTCATGCAGGGACCCTTCTCTTCTTGCTCAGGCTATGATACTCCATGCCAGGTGCCCTCTCCCTTCTCATAGTGCAGAAACATGCCACATGCCTCCCATTCCCATGCTGGTGCCTACTTTGCTTAGCCCTGCCTAGTGGCTTTTGGACTGAATTATGCCAGAAAGAAGGAAAGAAATAAGTTGACATTATATTTTAAGCCCTCTTTTGTATATTATATAGTCTTTATAATTATAGTTTTTCATGGTTGCATACCTGTTGCGACATAGGAATTGGGCAGGTGGAGACTGGAAAGCATGTATTATTGATGTTACCCAAATCATAAGCGGAAGTCACTTGCAAGGAGGTATCTAAGAAATGAAGGACATATAGCATGACCAGGACGATGATAATGCTTTTATAAGAGGTACATAGAGTCCATCAAAGACATCCTAAAAGCAACAGAGGGAGCACTCACCCATGTACCCACCTACATATCATCCACCCATCCATCAATCTATCTGTTCTTTACTCTTATTTTTTATTCTTGCAGTAAGTTGAGCTTAGGAAATACCTGTGTGCCCTGGAGCTGGCTAGGAAGGTCAGAGGTCAGCAGTAGCAGGTGGCCAGCCCAAAACAAGGACACAGTGAGCACCCAATGATCATTGCCAAAGCTGCATTTTCTGCCTTTTTGCAATCAGGACAAGAGCCCTGGCCATATGGGATGGAGAAGCCAGTTCTTGCCAGGCAGTAGTATTAGTCATGGTGAGAGGCTATCTCTGCCCTTAGCCCATAAAGTCACTGTAATTGGCTGGAAGATAAGAGGTCACCGTGTAGGGCTCTTCAGTTGGCAAGCCTGCTTGGCAACGCACAGACCCTAGTGCCATCAAAGGGGTTAGTTAGTTAGAGGGTACACAGTTGACTGATGACCCCACCAGTGAATTATGTAACTGGATCTAGACTGCAGTCAGACCACCTGTTTGTTCTCTCTTAGGACCTCTGATGGAGGTCCTGCTGCTGTTCCTCCAGGCAGCAGGGGTGGTGCAAGGATCATGGCGAGGATGAGAGATGTTTCCTTGTTCAGTAGAGGTTGCTGTATTTGCTTCATGTCCCTCAGGTCAGAGGAAGGTGACTGTGTTTACTGTTGTAGGATTTTACAAGAGGTTATACTGGTTTTTAATATCATCGTTAATACATGAGCAGAATAATTTTACTATTGCCTGCTAGAATTGTGGGAAATAAATCATGTATTTTATCTCTGATCAACTTGAATGTGTGTTCCATATAACCTTATGTCTCCTTATAACCACTTTCTCATATTGATTTAGTTCTTTTCCCAATATTATAATGTTTTCTATTTAAATATAATTTTCCTATTTTTTAAATATACTTTTCATTTTCTTTACTGTTCTTTTCTTTGTGATTTCTTTGATAATTTTGAAATCTGCCACAAAACTACTAAACATTATATTTTATTTTTTGTTATTTCTTTATGATTTGATTTTTAGAACTTTATATTTAATTGTTTAATACATCTGGAGTTAATTGCTATGTAAAGTATAGATCTAATTTAATTTCTCTGACATTGGTATACATTTATTATAACCTTCCTCCTACACCCACCTCCTTTTTGAAGAAACTTTGTTTACCAAAATGAAAACATATATATAGCATTTATATCTACTTCTTGTCTTTCCACTTTATTCCATTACTTTGTGTTTCTACTTTTGTACCAGTACCACACAGTTTTAATGCTTGTTGTGTTATAATATACTTTAATTGCAGTTTTCATCTGAGTGGTTTTTGCTATTTATGTCTTAATTTTTCAAAGAAATTTTAGAATCATTTTATTCTGAAATACCCTTTGAGAAGTTAGATTTGTTCTCATTTTAAAAATATATATTTCCATCTTGCGAGTTGTTTATTCTGTACGTGTTTTGTATTTAAATTTTTATCTATTTCTTCCAATAAAACTTTGAAGGCTTTTTAATATATATATACTTGGTGAACTGTGTTAATTCATATATACACAATTCTGAACATAGGTATATGCATTGACTGCCAAAAAATGGGGAGAAAAAAACCCTTTATTCCATAATAATCTATTTTCATGATAGTGTTACAGGTTTTTAAGCACAAAGGGTCTTTAAGAATACCAGTTTAAAACCATACAGGGAAAATAAGGCTCAGAAAATTCAGTGACTGGACTCTAGGACTTCTCAGTCTTGTGCATTGTTTTTCTAGATATATAGAATGCAGTCTGCTGTGTTTGTGTAATTTAGAGGAGTTATGGTTGGGAACAACCTGGGGCATTCATTAGTATAAGCAGTGCTTGAATCACAAATAGCCCACAAACTTCAACATTGGCTGCTGGGTCCACCTGGCTTAGTTTTCTAGCCATCAAACCATTTCCTCTGTGTGTTTTCCCTGCTCTAGCCATATTTCTCTGGAGCTTCTGCAGCTTACACCCCACACAGTCCTGGCCACTGGATGGTTAGAATGAGTGAATTGCGGTGGCCACTGTTCCTGCTATGTTATGGGTTAAATAAGTCTCATAGATTTGCTTCGACGCTGTTATATGTAATGATGTTTCTGTGAGAAAATCAGTCCTGAGTTCCAAAGAACATATTGAAAAATGAACTT